TTCCTTTCCGTTTCTCCTCCCCTTTCCCTCCCTCTCCCCTCCCTCCCCTCTCCTCCTTTCCTTCCTTCTCTCCTTTCCTCTTCTCCCACTCCTTCCTTCTCTCCTCTCCCCTTTCCCTCCCTCTCCTCTCCTCCTTTCCTTGCTTTTCTCCTCCTCTCCCCCCTTTCCCTCCCTCTCCTCTCCCTCTCCTCCTTTCCTTCCTTTTCTTCTCTCCTCCTCTCCTCTCCTTCCTTCCTTCTCCTCCTTCCTTTTCTCCTTTCTCCACTTTCTCTTCTCCCCTTCCCTTTCTCCTTGCCTCCCCTCCCCTCTCCTCTCCTCTCTTTTCTTTGGGGAGGGGGCCAATCTTTGTTTCATTTGGCTTACTACGCCAAGAAGGAGGTGAAAACGCAGCCGATCCCCTCTGCAGCCGGCGCCAGTATCTGGCAGGGTCCTGTAAAGGTTTTTTTTTGTGGGGGGGGGGGGGGGGGGGGGGGGGGGGGGGGGGTGCATTTTTTTTTGTGCTGTTGATCCGTCGAGATCTTTAAGTGTTTCTTAGACTTCTTTTTAAGAAAAGTTTTTTTAAGCAGGTTTTTTTTTCCTTCCCCCCAAGAGGGAAAGAAACGACAAAACTTTTACTGCAAACGTTTTTTAAAAACGTTTCGCAAAAAAAACACAAAGCGTGTTGCCAACCACAATACTCTTCCCACGTTCCCAGCGGTTGGCCAGTTGTTCTGCAGTTGTTGTTGTTTTTAAAGAAAGAAAGATTATCCGATCGGTTTCCATTGTTGCTGTTTAATCTCAGATTCTCCCCGATTCAGAAAAGCATTATTTAAATGAAAGTTCCTCGGTTCTGATTTGTTTTTTTAAGAAAAAAACCGATTTCCTGTAAGAGCTGCTAATTTTTATTTTTTAAAAAAAGGTTGTAAAATAAGCCTCCTTTTTAAACTTCATAGAAGGGCATGCAAATCAAAACATATCACCCGTGTACAGTGTCAATAAACTGGAAGCAGCTCCCCGATGCTTTCTTTATATTGGCTGTGTAACTTTGTATTTATTATGTATAAAATGTTGAATAATAAAAAAAAGTGGCTTTAAATCATCAGGTATTGCATAATACGTTGTAAGCGTGATCGTCTTTGCAAGTTTTCTTTTCACAAGAAGGACATCTGGGTTTAATTTAATTTCTGTTTGTTTATTTATCCCTTCGTTTATTCCAGAGGTCAAATGTGGCCACTTTAAGACCTATGGACTTCAACTCCCAGAATTCCTGTCTTCAAACATGGCCACTTTAAGACCTGTGGACTTCAACTCCCAGAATTTTCCTCAGCCGTTGTAAGTTCGAGCGGTCACTAAACGAATGATTGTAAGTCAAAGGCTACCTGCAATATTAATAATAATAATTTTGAGAGAGCCGCCGAAGTCCCACCTGTCTTAAAATTGCCAGTGTTGAGAAACACCAATTTAAAGATTGTGCAAGCTTCAGGATTTTGCAACATTCTTGAGCAGATGAGACCAAACAGAAAATCCAGAATGAATTTCCCATCCCAGCCTTGATAAACCTTGATCAGTTTTGCATCAGGTTCTCACAGAAAGCTGGCTGTAACTCGGAAACACACAAACACAAGAGCAAAACGTTTCTCAAAAGCTCTGGACTGACACTTAATCTGGTTATTCTCTTGGTCCTGATTAACATGAAAGATCAGATATGTCTGGACTCAATTCAATTGCTGCTCGCTTTGCAATTGTTTTTAATTTGCAGAAATGAAAGCGATTCGTGGAGATGATGTTTTTCCCCCTCAACCTTAACTGCCCAGTCTAGACTGATTTCTCATAAAATCAAGGGCTAATTTGATTTATATTTCGTAACTTTGAGGGAGAAGGGGGCCTTTTAAAAGAACAGATAGATAGATAAATCTGTTTTTTCATTCCTGAGAATCCCGTTTTGCAGCAGTCATCGCAAACTGTTGTGTGTTGCAATAATAATAACAACAATAAAAACCATGAGCTTTCCAGTTTTCCAGAGAAAAGGGCTGAGTCCACATCCAGATGTGCCCAAATCCCAGCTTCTGAACAATTTGGAGGCTTCCTCCGAAATATTAGCAAGGAGGTTTCCAAGGAAGAAGGAAGTGAAAAGGAAATGACCAAGGGTGCCTACTAAACTGCAAACAATACAATTTTGACAGAAGTGGAACAGCGATTTGATTCAAAAGTTGAATGAGTTCCTTTTTTTATAAAAAAAACGACCTTATTTCGCTATCATCATCTTTTAATGACTCCATAATCCCTTGCGGGGTGGAGTCTTGGGAAACTGAATGGAACCTACTGTTTACTGGCCAGATGCCCTTCCTGTCACCAGTGCGGAGTTTTTATGCAGCAGGTATATTCTCAATGTGCCGAGAGAGAGAGAGAGAGAGAGAGAGAGAGAGAGAAATACCTGCCTCTACCTAGAATCGAACTCACAGCCTCCTGATTGTGAAGCAAGAGCTGCACCTCTGGGCCACTGCACTGCTCACCTTATTTTACTATAATACATAAAAACAAAATAAAAAGAATTAAAAAGAATAAATAAAAAGAAAACAAACCAAACAACCAAAAGGCCAGACTTGATGGGTCTTTTTCTGCAGTCAGTTTTCTGTGCCTCTTACAAGTTTTATCGTTTTCAGATATGGCAAAATGGAGTTGTTTAATTAGGAAAGAATGCAACAAAAATGCATTTATTAGTGACTGGATACCCTTGGTGGATTCTTTCCTGAAAATGGGAATAATTGAAATGGTGTTTTATGGATTCGGGGATTAGAAAGAGTAAAACGTGAAGAAAGGATTCAAGATGGAACCTTAAAGAAGGAGGGTAGACAATAAATTTATTTATCGAGAAAAATGGAAGTTGCTGCTTTATACTTTTTTTTCCCCCTCTTTTTTTCCTTTATCTAAGAAGAGCAACAAAGAGGATTAGGAAACCAGAGGCTAAAATATATGAGGGATGGTTTCTGGAATTGGGGATTTCTAGTTTAATGAAAAGAAGGACCAGGCAGGACAGGACAGCAATATGTGAACCTCTCGGGGGCTGCCCCCCAAAGAAGGGGGAGTCAAGCTATTCTCCAAAGCTCTTGAAAGCAAGCCAAGAAGCAACGGATGGAAACTCATCAAAGACTCAAACTCATCAAGAACCTAGAAATTTCCTTTAGAACAATTAAACCAGTGGAACAACTTGCCCCCAGAAGTTGTAAATGCTCCAACCAAGTTTTTAAGAAGAGACCAGGCAGCCAGTTGTTTGAAATGGTACAGGGCAGTGATGGCGAACCTTTTCGGTACCGAGTTCCCAAACCAGAACGTGTGTGCATGTGTACGTCGGACTGCTGGAAAACCAAAGACCAAGCTGGCTGGGACGCACACACCTGTTTTTTGGCTGTTTTCAGGCCATTTTTCATGCCAAAAACAGTCTGGAAAATGGCCTGTT